ATTAAAACTAGAATTTAACTATTTTACTAATTTAACTAATAAATAGTAATTAATTCATATATTTATTAAGTTTTATCTCAAAATAATACAGTATTTAATAATTTTTTAACAAAAGATACATTTATATTTAATTTTAATCTAGGTTTCTTTTCAATTGAAATAAAACAAGTAATAAAACAGAATAAAATAAAAAAAAATAAAATAATAATAAACATAATAGAAAAAAAATTAAAAAAAAGTATTTTTAAAAATATTCTTAACTTTTTATAAATTAAATATTAAATTTATTTAATATTGAAATCTATTCTCTATAGATAATTTATATTTTCTTTATAAACTTAATTAAAAACTTTTTTTCTAATTCAATATTAAATAGAAAGATTATATTTAATAAATTAATTAAATATTTTTCTTTTAATTTCTTATCTCATTGTTTAATGAGCAATTTATTAGTATATAATTTGAACTTTCAACTATATTATAAGAATCACATTTACTAAAGTTTAAAAAATCTATAAATCTTTTTATGTATGATTTAAAGTAGTTATATTCATATTTCAATTGTATTATAAAAATTTTCAAGTATATATAAATTTTTTTCTTCTTTCAATAGTTTACTAATAGTGATATCTATTAATAATTTTAAATTTTTCTTTTAAGAATAGAGCTTATTATGATTTATACTTTCTATATTTAAGCTTTATAATTGATTTTTAATCATAGTATATATTCTATATAGTTGAAAAGATAATATCTTCTTTAAGTTATTAAAGTATTCATTCTAATCTAGAAATCTTTCTCTATTTAATTCTTTTTCATATATATCTGAAAGATATAAAGTAGATACTTTTATTTAAATTGAATGATTTATATTTATTTTCATAATTCTTAGAATATAATTTAAACAGCTTTTATCAAATTTAATAGCTGGTGATGAAATTGATGCTTATATTTCTATAGCTCTAACTGAAGATGTTTTAAAAGCTTTTGAAATTCTTTTTAAGACTTTATTTTATAATAGTTAAAATTAATTTATAAAGTTTTTTTTGCTCTTTTCATCAAATCTCTACTGTATAATCTGATATAAAAGCTATACAAGTTATATATAATTATCTTATAGCTTGCAAAAATAAATCTTTTTTTATATCAGAAAATCTAATAATATTATTCAAAGTTCTCTCAATCTGTGTAATTTTTTTTAATTTATGAACTTTAAAGTTGAGCTTTGAGTCTAAATCATACTCCTAGCCACCTTATAGAAGTTTTTGATTTTTTAACTTTATTTTAAAAAGTAATAATTTTCTTTTATTTATTTTTTTTAAAGTGAAAATAAATTAATTCAATTTTATTTATATCAAATTGAATAAGATTTTTACTTTATTTTTTAAATATTTTCCTTATAGCTTTCTTTATATTATTATAATTTTCTTATATAGATTTAGAACTTATACTAAAATTAATATTATTATCATAGTTAAAGTATAAAATAAAAATAAATAAAAGAAATTAAAAATTAATTACTAAATAATATGCAAAAATTTTTTTATTAACTTAAAATAAATTTAACTATTAAGCTAAACAGTTACAAATTAATATACTGAAACTATAATAAATTTGAAAGATCTTTGAAGTATCTAATTACTTTTAAAGTTTAATCTTATAAAGAATATATTGAAACTTAGTAATATAGACTGTTAAAAGTTCATTTGAGTTCTACTATTGACTGTAATGTTTATCTTCTACCTTAATTATTTTATTTAAATTGTCATATATATGAGAAAGCTGATTAAAAATTTAATTATTATTTTAATTACTTACTTCTTCAACTTAAGCTAACTAAGGAAAGATTATCACTTGTATTCTTAAATCTAAATTCAAGTCGATATAGTAGAATTGAATGATCAGATCTTTAATAATAGCTTGATTAATATATAATTTAACTTTGATTGAGAGAAGTCAAATATCAAATTTTAGAATTTGATCATTAAACTTTTTAAGATCTGATAATAAGAGTTTCAGATAAAATTGAAATTGAAATTGAGAGCTTTTTAGAGCTATCTGCAAGAATTAATATTTAGCATGCAAGAACTAGTATTCACTATGCAAAGATTGATATTTAATTCAAAACTGTTAATTTTAATTGCAGAGCTTCTGAATAATACTTTTAAATTTCTGATGAAGAGCAGCAAAAAAAAATTTAATAATAAAGATAAGAATAATAAAGAACCATAAAAAAGAATAAAAATTAACTAAGATTTTGAGCACTCAGCACAGTTGCAATAACGAGAAGCTTATATGAACATAGATATAAACATACAGCCTGCATACTCAATCTTCAAAGCTTTTGAGAAAGAGGAGTTTAGTATTATATCATGGCTCAACTAGAGGCATGATGAAAAAAAGACAAAAGCTTCAATTCATCTATCTAACTACAGCTGCGACGAGAATACTGAGGATTAAAATGTGGGAATGAGACGAGCAGCCTAATATATATAGGTAGTTGGGGATTGGAACGGATCAAACTTCAAAGCGGAGCGAATGAGAGCAACCAAATATGATTGGAGTCGGAGCGGATCAACCTTATCCCATATTACCAGCGACTTACGCCGTAACAAGTTGCAATCCAAATGAAGATAAATAAATATTTGATTATCAGCTAAATAAGCTACTTTGATAAAATACTAAAATGCTCTATAAAACGAGAGTCTGAGAAAGTCTCTGTTTATATATATATATTTTACTAGTGATTGTTATGTTATTGCTAAACAGTTTCTGTAAAGTATTTATTTAAAAAATAGTTGCTTGCAAAGTGATTGATAAGCAGTTTTCTTTATATGATTGCTAGTCATACCCTTTTATAGCGCTGTACTCAGTGCTGTAGCTAGCCAGTATCATCACAACTGAAACCAGTTAAGATAAAGAATGAAAATGAGTGGAGAATTGAAAATGTTCCAATGAGCTGTATCTCTCATGAGAAGCTTCAATACTGAATAAAGTGGCTAGAATCATATATAGTCATTCTTGTAGTGTGCAAACTCTGCAATCAAGCATGCCATTCTGTCACTAACATGTTGGGTCCTGCCTCTAACTCTTCATCTGCCAGTCATTCCCTGTTGTCCATATATTCAAACTCTGAAAGCGCCACGGACAGATGCCCAATGTTAAATAATTGAATTCGCAGAATCCACAAAATCCACCAAACTCCAACTCCGTCCCTCGACACACCCGAAGCAAAATGCTAACCGAATCTGTCGTTCAATCGTCCTATCTAGCTTCGCAGGAGGCATACCACATCTTCACGGTGGTCATCATGGTATTCCCTAGAAATTTCTCCGTATCCTTCAAATCAAGTGTACACTGCTTCGCATGCGAATATCGAGGCGACCAGTCATCCAGCAATTGCAATGACGATGACCCCTGCATCATGCGCTCCAAGGTATACAAGCAATGGACAACATAGAAGTTCCAGTTCGTATGAAGGGCGGGATATAGTCCTGCCTGGACTTCGTCGAGTGGCACTGGATTTCCCTCTGGTGTTTCCCAGTACCATATATCTTTATACCGGGTTAAGAAGCCTGTGTAGAGATCCTCGTCCCAGCAATTTGCTTGCTGCCAGCTGAAATCTATCATGTCGAAGTGGCAGCCACGTTTGCGGGCTTGAGAAGGGGAATTCCCGCATTGGGAAGTATAGAGTAACTGCATCCGTTGTAGTTGGTTGCTGGAAATGGTTCGTAGGGACGTTGTATACAATGAGCTCAAGGCTGAGTATGAGAGCAATGGTCGATGAAGGGTGGAAATGAGTACAACTGTTACTCCTGTTATGGATAGGATGCTGATTGCAAATATATATATTCGGAATCGTAATGTTCGCTTTGTGACGCTCTTGGAGAGCTTTTGTGGCAGGATAGGGTCGACGCTTGAGATGTCAGGACCCATCTGGATATAGAAATCTTCGAGTCTCGCCATCTTATCTGTTCTATGAGAAAGACTCGGTGTAAGAGATGTATATGGCAGTGTTGGTTTATGTATATACTGGCAAGCTACCTAGGAAACGTGAACGACCTGTGGCTGGGAGAACTGATTCAACGTCTGCAAATCCTTGTTGAGAGGGATTGAAGGATAATAATGGAAGGAGAGCCACGTATATATATGTGCTCTAAATGTGGATAGTCGGTATTATGGAAGGATTCTGACAAGGGGAGAGGGGACTGACAAAGCTAGATCTCCGGGTCACATACTGAAGCCGGATTTCGGAGTAGGGAGCATGCAGAGCAAAATTCACCAAGAAGGATACCCGGATAATAACAAGTAATACCAACCCTGGGTATCTTATATATGAAGCAGATCATATAACAATGCATTTAGAGTTGTGAAAAGCAAAACGTGCTCTACTCGCTTCAGCAAGGGCTGAAACCCATACAGCTCTCCGCAACTTCAAGAGGGGAGGGCGGAGCGTCAATATGTTGCAGCAGCGGTTTTGAAAGCGTCAACGAAACCTGGGTATTCCTTGGTGTTCCGACTCAAAGTGACTCCCGAGTCCGATAATAATAGATTCCTGTTCTTAGAGTAATTGAGATCTTGGTTTCTCTCTCCCTGTTCGAACCTACGACCAACGCTTTCAGGTTTCAAACCCCTTTGGAGCAATTTCATGCCTTGTGGCTAGCGGAGGCTTGCGTTGGCCAGGGGGGATTGGTCGCGATTTTTCTGGGGCTGATCAGTGAGAAGACACCAGTAACTAGCACAGGTGGGTTTTTCTGACAGTCTCCATGGGGGCCAACGCAAGGTTAAAACGAGGTCACAATTAAACATCTACAGCCTTTTTGGGATGATCATGAAGATACTAGGCCATACGAAATAGGTATTTGATGATGATCCCAAAGGTTATGTGAGAGGAGATAATAACCTCGCCAGGTGGTCACCAGAGGTCATATAACAGGAAAAGTTGCTGACTAATCATGCCGCTGCGCAACCCACACCTTATAAAAAAACAACCTCATTCTGTCGGAACCATATTTTTGAAATATCTCCACAACCACTGCTCTATTTTACTCATACTGTGGCTCAATCTACTCGTCAGCTCTCTAGGTACCGCCCAGTATCAAGTAGATATGGCGAGTGGTCAAAATACCCCACAGGTGGGTATCCAGCCACCCAAACTAAGTGACCATGCCACTCAAATTGAAGCAGACATCCAAGCTTTCAAAGAATATCATATAAATCTGCTAGGTAAAACATGAAACCCAACATGGCAGATGATTGAAGCCTTCATGAGCAGTGTCAGTGTCTATGTTAAGAAGACTGAAAGACAGTCAACTCAGACTGAACTGACTGCAGACCTCTGAGCCACTGTAAAAGCTCAGAAGAAGATGAGAAAGAATATAGTTCAAATCAAGAACATACTAGCAGCTCCAGCTGTAAAGCTCACTGGGGCCAACAGTCTATTCTATGCTCAAGTCCTGCAGAAACCATATCTTCTGAGAACATCAATACAATTCAGACCCTCAAGTGGACTACATGAGATTCTAATTAAAATAGGAAATACTGTCTCAGAAAGTGAAATATGGACAGTCTCAGAAGAAACAATCAAAGAAAAGATCAATAAAACACTGGAAAAAAGTCAAGTTCAGGATCTGAAGAGTGTAAAAACTCTAGCTGTAAAGCAACATTCAAGTGAAGACATCACACTGTACACAAATGATTAGAACACAATAAGGAAAATGCAGATATACAAGAAGAAGTGAATGAAAGCTTTTGAAGACACAGCAGCTCTTCAGATTATTATCTTTGAAATTCTAATTCATGAAGTCTCAACAGTAATAGATGTCACAAACATCAAAGAAATGAAAGACAAGATACAGTGGAACAATTCAATATTGAAAACTGCAAATGTCAAGTACATAGAATGACTTAAAAAGAAACTTGAAGAAAAAAGAGCATTCACATTGATAGTGAAGTTTGATAATAGTGAGCATGCAGATAGTGCAATCATTAAGAAGATTGCACTAGAAGTTCAGATGTTTATCTGTGAATATTACAATAGAATCTGCAAGCTGAGACAATGCTTCAAATGTCAAAAGTATGAACTTATTGAAACTCATTGCAAGACAAGTTAAATCTGTAAATACTGTGCAGAAAGTCACAGCACTGTGAGCTGTGATAAAAGAATAAAAAAAAAACAGAGACAAATTGCACAAACTGTAGTGGAAAACACTCAATATAAAGTGTTTAATGTGAGAAAAGAAAGGCTGAGCTGGCCAGACTTGAGGAAAGAAAGAGAACAAGATCATATACACATCAGAAAGCAGCAGCAAGATACTGACAAAGTACCACAAATGAATTGTGGACTGATAGAAAAACAGATACTTCAAAGAAAGTCTTAGTCAGATCTATTCTCCAGTCAAGAGTGAGAATAGACTTGGGTCAAAAGAGAGGCTAATCCTCAAGAAAGAGCATGAGAGCTGGAACCCAGGAAGAGAATGAAGAAGATGCAGTCAGACAGATGCTACAGAAGCTGAGCAATAATCAGCAATTGATTACTTCAGTGAAGAACTTCAATCTGAACAAATATCAGTGATATGCAAGTCAAAGAAGTCAACCATCAACACAGATCTCAGACATGCATATGATCTTCAATAAATAATACAACTCTATCAATACTTCAATACAATGTCAACAAGTCTTGAGATTAAGTCATGGCATCACTGCTTGCTGATCAAGCAGCATTAACATATGATATTATAGCTATTCAGAAACCATGGTGAAACAAGTTTCAAGAGATCATATACTACTCAGTCAAGAACCAATTTGATCTGATCTACCAGAAGAATAAGAAAACTCAGATATGCTTTCTCATAAACAAAAGAATAGAAGAAGACTGGACACATACACATCATACAATAGATATTGTGATCTTAAAACTGCAAGTGAATAAGAAAAAAATGCTATGCATACACAATGTGTACAACTCAATTACAAGGACACTTGAAATGAATGATGCAATACCAGATCTCCAAAAGGCCCTAGAGAAGGAATCTGAAGCTGAGCATGTAGTACTGGAAGACTTCAATCTCCATCACCCATTGTAGGGTGGATTCAGAGTCAGAAAGACATCAGAAAGAGCTAAAGTCATGCTTGAACTGATAGCAGACTATCAACTAGAACTGCTTATATCTATTGGGACAAGAACATACCAGGAAGTGGGAGAACCAACCACACTAGACCTGGTTCTGGGAACACACTGAGTTCAAGAAAGAGTGATATGCTGTGGACTAGCTGAAGTGAAATTGAATCATGACTCAGACCATTTATCAGTGACAATCATTCTGAACATGTCAACAGCTCAAAGTGAGTCAAGAAAGAAGAGAGTTTGACACAGATTGAAAGAAAAAAAATTCAAGAAGAATGTCAGAAAGAATCTATCAGAAGCAAGCAAGTCACTAAGCAAGAAGAAAATCAATCAATATCTGAAAGCTATAGTCAAGACAATCACAACAGTCATTGAAACTCACTGTTCAGAGTCACACATCAATTCACAATCAATATCAAACTGGACATCTGAGATCAAGGAAGCTCAGATAGAAGCAAGATGACTGAGATATATTCATCAAGAAACCCAGTCAGAGAAAGCATGAAAAGACTATAGAAGAGTTAGAAATCACAAAGAAAGACTTATTCAGAAGCTCTTGAGAAGAAATCATAGAAAAAGAATACAACAAGCAATAGAATTCACAGAAGGCCTCTGGAAGCTGGTCAAATAAGCTAAGAATAGAGAGTTCAGAGCTGCTCACACACCATCTCTAAGATATGAAAAAGACCCTCTAGAATCTGAACTGGAGAAAAAGTATGATCTGCTCAGCAAAACCTTCTTTCCACTCTCAGGCATTGCCAATCTCAATGACATAGCTGGAACAGTATACCCAGAATCAATTGAATGGCCAGAAATCACACTCAGTGAGATACAGAAGACAATTCAAAAGATGACTGCAAAGAAAGCACTGAGCTCAAATGAAATATCAAATCTGATTTTAAAGATTCTGGTAGAAGAGCTGACTCAGCCTCTCACAATTCTATTCAATGCCTGCATGGAACAGAAATACTGCTTAGAACACTTTCAAAGATCTATAATAGTAGTGCTCAGAAAATCAGAGAAAGAGAACTATATTCAGATTAAATCCTATCAACCAGTGGCTCTGCTAAATACAGTGGGGAAACTGCTGGAGAAGATCATTGTCAAAAGAATGTTCTACTGAGTAGAGAAGTATGATCTTCTTACAGAAATGCATCTGAGTGAGAGAAAAGAAGTCTCAACTGAACATGCTCTGCACTGGCTACTGAAGAAGATAGAAACAGTACAAAAAAGATGGATAATATTCAAAACAGTATCCATACTGTCTTTGAATGTTTCAGATGTCTTTGACTATGTCTCACACTCAAGACTCCTTAACAATCTTCAAAAATGAAGAATCCCAATTGCTGTGGTGAGATGGATAGAAAGCTTTCTGATAGATTGAAGAACCTCTATCAAGCTTTCAGAAGACAGCTCAGAGAAAAGAAATATGCAATCAAAAATTCCACAGAGATCATCAATGTCATCAATACTCTATCTATTCTTTAATGCAGATCTGATGGAGGACTGTCAGAATTCAGAAAATGACACAGCAGAAATGGGCTAGATAGATGACATAAATATTGTAACCTCAAGCAGCTCAGCTGAAGAGAACTGCAGAACATTTGAAAGAATTCATGAAAAGTGCAGCAAATGAAAGGCAACACATGGCTCAAAATTCAATCCAGCAAAATACAGTCTGATGCATTTGTCCTACAGATTTAGAGAACTCAATGACAGCTATACAATGACCATAAGAGAATATACAATCACATCAAACTGATGCTGCTGGATACTAGAACTCATACTTGACAATCAGCTCAGATGAAAGAATCATATTGAGAAAGTAAAAGCCAGAACAATCAAGACTCTGAGAGCTCTCATCAGCCTGGCAGAATCTATCTGAGGCACAGAATATAAGAGTCTGAGAAATATCTACAAGACTGTTATTTTGCCATAGATGACATTTGCAGCATCAACATGATATGCACCAGCTGAAAATACACTCAACTACAGATCAGTACTGCTCAGCAAGCTTGAGACTGTGCAAAGAAAGACAGTCAAGATTATCACAGATGCATTCAAAACAGTTTCTGAACCAGCACTGAATATTGAGGCTCACCTTCCATCACTGCAACTGCATTTGAAAAGAATTACAGCTGAAACATATCTAAGGCTCAGAACAACCTCACAATAAAACACTCAAGATAGAATTCAGAAAGAGGAAATCTGGTAGAGCTACAGAGATGACTGAGAATCTCTGTCAACAAAATGAACATCTCTGAAATGACATGAACACTGATGCTGAAAGACTCTTGGCAGAGAAGAGATTAATAATCTGAAAATCAGAAAGCTCTATATAGTTTCTCTCTGGTGAAAACCACCAGAGACACATATAGAGGATAGAGAAGCAGCAAGAAAGAGTCATGATAAGAGATGACTAGAAGAACTGAGAGCACAAAACAAACTGATAGTATATACAAATGAAAGTGTTATAAATAACAAGATAAATGCCTCAGCAGTGCTTGAGAATCTTAACTTCACAGAAAAGATATACTTGAGAAATGCAACCAGAGCAACAGTCTATCTAGCTGAACTCAAAGAAATTCAAACTGCTATGTTCATGGCTCAAACTCTGAACAAAGATGCTATTATCTTCTCAGACAGTCAGACAGCAATTCAGACAATTCATGACCCTCAAATCAATGATCAATAAATTCTTGAGCAAATTGTGGAAATCTGAAATCAACTTCAGAAGATTGATATCCAGATTGAAATAAGATGAATATCAGCACATGAGAGTATGCCAGGGAATGAGCAAGCAAACATGGCAGTCAAGAAGGTCACAGGCTGGAGGCTAGCAAGAAATGCATGAGATCAGAATGTTCAGATGAATACTGATCAATTGGCACAGACAGCAATCATTCAGATATCATTGAAGCTGCTCAAGACTAGACTAAGAACTTAAATAAAGATGACTTGAGTGAAAATCTGACAACATGAGAAACAAGAATGAGATCTCTTCTGAATAGTCAGAGAACTCAGCAAGAACATCTCTAGACTTCACTCAAAGCTGATCTGATCTCTGTCAAGTATTCTAATCCAGCTGCACACAGGTAACATTGGATTATGCCATTTCCTATGCAGAAGAAAGGCCCCAGAAGTTGAGGATGAAACATGTGAATGTGGCAGAGGAAATCAGACAGTGGCACATGTACTGCTTAACTGTATCAAGCACATAAGTCTTCAGAAGGACCTCTGAGTAGAGGAAAGAACTACAGACCTTCAGAAAATGCTCTCAAATTCAGATATGACAGCTCAAGTCATCAATTTTATACTCAAAATCAAACTTCTTGAGCAATTTGAGAGTGTACAGAATCAAACTGTCAAGCAATGAGTTTTTAATTATTTTCAGACACTCAATAGCTCACACTGCAGCAATGTGTGTGGGCAAGATAAGAATGATATGACAGCTGCAAAGCAAAATTCAACTGACAATCAATGTCTTTTTTATGTTATTTTCTTATATTTATTCACTGACATTCAATGTCTTTTCTTATGTTATTTCCTTATATCTATTCACTCAATTCTTAGGCATCTCACAGGTGGCTGTCACCACCTGACAGTGATTTAATCAAAATCTTGTAATTAGTGATTTCTTTAAGTTTTGTGAGCGTTGGACAGATTAGGACTAGCTTATTCCTGCATAGCGGTCTATAAGGCGGCTGGGTCAGTGTATGAAGTAATCAATCAATCAATCAAACCCACATCTTATGTGGGTGCACCACATTAAAACAATAAAAACATAACTGTTATATAAAAACATCTTAATTAATTTTGATCACATTTCTATAAGCTCTCTCCCATCCCCTCAGGCAGCAAGTCTGATGATGTGCTGACACAGTGCTGTCAGTGTGCCTAGCCCCTCAACAACATCAAATGCATCTTAAGTCTTGACATGCATCTGCTCCTCTATACACTGTTCACTCAAGAGACCTCATCTTCTCACCCCAATCATCTGCTGCACATATGAACTGAATGACATGAAGTCTTCAAGCTCCTCTACACCAGCAGGCAGCTCAAAGAGTAGAAATGTCACATCAATACATCTCAATCTATGTGGTCTGATGGCTAGCAATCTTTTAGCCACCTATGAGGCTGAGGCACAGAAATTCTATGCAGAAGCACTAGCTGCTGCAAATATGCTTGATCAGATTGAAGAAGATCTAGATGTCATGAAGACAAAAAATCTATCAAAGACACTGATTCTTGAAGTCACTGTGAAGACACTAGTTAAGAATTGATACAATGAAAGTCTAGAAACAGCTAAGCAGTTCATCACAATCAAGTCTGCTGACTTCACTGATGCAAATGATGCAAGAGCTTCTATCTATGCAAAGACAGCTGTAGACAGCATCAATATAACAAAAACATCAGCAATCATACTGCAGAAACCCCTGCTTAGAAATAACTTTAGAGAAGAAAAAATATCACAAATCTTCACATCTGCCTTCAGATCATCTAGCTTGCAAAGCAAGTTCAATTGCTACTTTTAAAAAGCTGAAGACTGAACTTCTGAAGTCTTTGATAGCAATCATCACAGCAGTTCAAGTCATTCTCATAGACATTATCATCATTTTTAGAAGCTTATAAGACATAAAAACTCTGCTAGTCAAAAAAAATGTTTTAGCAGTCACTCTCATCAATGCTTAGATAGAGAAAAAAGAATATTGAATTATCTGTCTGATTTCTAAACTACTCATGAAAATTAATGACTATGATAATGAAACTCTGCATCTCTCAGCAGAATTCATAACAGAAAAATTCATACTTCAAATCAAAATTAAGTCTGTTCAGAGTCATGAAGTAAAAATACACTCTGAAAACTCAACAGTCACTCTTATATTACACTTTTTACAAGAGACAGCAGTAAATCTGTCATTAAAAGTGAAACTATATAAATATCAAAGATCAGTGATCAGAAAGACATCTAAGATTAAAATATAATAATGTAGCAAATGTTGAGAATTTCATCAAAAGAAATACTGTCTCTGTATCTCTCACTGCAAAAAATGCAGTTTTAAGAATTATATAAAAGAAAATTCATTCTGTCATAAGAAAAATGAAGCATGTGAATGTCTCAATCACTACACTAACTGTCTTGAATCACACACTGCAGATGATTCATTTTGCTCTGTCAGATCAGAGATAAAGAATAAAACTATTCAAAGATACTCAAGAAATCAGCTGAGAAATATCTGCAATGCATGGAGTAAGACATACTTGATCAAGACAAGTAACAGCAAATGCAGTGATTGAGATTCATCAGCAGATCTGAGATTAAATGATTTTACTGTGTAGATCTAATCTCACACTGACATCAAACACAGTATCAAGCACAGCATTAAGCACAGCATCAGACATAGCATTAGACATGATGCTCAATTCAACATCTAATGCAATACTCAACATGTCATCTCACACAACAACACTCTTCTTTCAGCTACTCAATGAAGAAGAACTTTAGATCTTCACAATTCCTGCAGATTATGCAAGTCAATGTAGAAAAAGAGAGTTCAGCACATGAGATAGCTCTCAATCTAGCATTTGAAAGAAAGACTGATATTCTTCTCATACAGAAACTCTGAATTCATAGAAACTTAAGTCAATACATCTCTAAAAAGCATTTAGCATTCAACTGCTTTGCCTCAATTGAAAAGTGAAACAGAAAGTCACAGGTTCTCATCTATGTGTATAAACATTCACAAATTCATGTTCATGCAGTTTCAGATCTCTGAGCAGAAAACTGAGACATTCACATACTGCACATACAAATTTGAAGTCTACAGCTTCAGACAGTCAACATATATAATGCACTTTCAGATGCAGAGAATTCTGAATAAAATATGAGCTGTCTTCTCTTCTGATCTGTTTCAGCACTTCTGTTGCTTCTTGCTGATGACCTCAATATCAAGCACTTTGTGTGGCAATCAGAAGTGCCTCCAAGCATGTGAGCAGAATCATTTCTGCAATAAATCATGAATTTCAACTTTACTCTCACCATGGACCCAGACACCCCCATATGTAGACATAATATGATAGACCTGGTCTGAACCACTCTGGAATTAGTTATCAAAGAAGTGAATACACAGATAGACAGATTTCTTTACATCTTCTCTGATCATCAGACTCTTCTCATCAAAATCAGCCTTTCACAGAGTGTAAGATCTGACAGACCATCTCATTTTTTCCATCTTGACATCATAAATGAGAAGGTCTTTAATCAGACACTGAAGATCTATAAGTCAAAACTAGACAAACTATGTGATATTTCAGAGTACTTCAATACAGATCAGCTAGATGCCCTGGCTAAAGATATCACAGATGCACTAATAGCTTCTCTGAAAAGTTTTATCAAGAAAAGCATCAGACAAAACGCAGATCAGCCATGGTGAAATGAGAACTGTCAGAAAGCAGTGACAACACTACATCAGACACAGCATCTAGACTCTAGTTTTTTACAAAAAGCAAAAAGCAATGTAGTCAGAATCATCAAAAAAGTCAAGAGAGAATATTGATAAGACAAGATAGCAGAGGCCTCAGTGAGAAAAAATATCTTTAAGATGATCAAATGAGCTCATTCAACTGACTTCTTTCATTTCCTCTCTCTTGTAGATGAAGAGACTGAACTAACATGAACAACTTTTAGAGAGAAAAGAGATCTTCTGCAACAGATGCTCTTACAGAAGGCTGAAAGCAGAAAGAATATTTCAATTAATTGATTCAATTCACCATCTGTCAAATTATCATTTTCTGTTATCTCAGCACATTAGATACAAAGTTCTCTGCTGAAAACAGATAATATCACTTCAGAAACTGATGAAGTGTCAACAGAGATGCTATGAAAGATATGATAACATATTAAGATATTGGTGGAAAGGCTGTTCAGAGTCTGTCTTAGAGTTGACTGATACTCAATCTTCTTTTGAGATGTCACACTGGTTGTGCTGTCTAAGGTCAACAAAGATTCAACACTCTCACAATTCTACAGGCTTATAGCCCTTCTCCCAACATTGAGAAAGAGACTAGAATGTCTGGTAGTCTGTAGACTGGTCTGGACAGCTATACAAGAGAAGATTGTTCACTCTCAGCATTTTGAAGCTCTTTCTGAGCAGGCTGCCTCAGACCTAGTGGCAGTGATGATTCATGATATAGAGAAAGTCTGAGTTTATGAAAAAGTAGTCTCTCTTCTTACTCTAAACATCAAGAATGTTTTTGATGCTGTACTCAGAGAAAAAATGCTGCAGAGATTGCAAGAACAAGACTGATCATCAAATTTAATTAGATGAGTGAAAAGCTTCATGACAGAATACACAGGCAGAATCAGATTGAATGAACTTCTGAAAAAGCTCTTTGATATCTCAGCAGAGCTTTCACAAGACTTGCCAGTCTCATCTATTCTATTCATGCTGTATATTCAATCTCTGTTTTTTCTAGAAACTATAGAAAGAAGATGTGCACACTAAGACTATGCAGATGATTTAGAACTGCTTAGTGCTGGAATTACTCTTGAAGAGAATGTTGTTACTCTTTAGAAGAATTTCAAGTTGCTAAATGATTGAGTCAGCAAAGAAGAACTAATATTTGATTTTGTCAAAACTGAGATAGCACACTTCACACAGCACAGAATTCTTTCAAACCTCTCAATTGATCTTGAAACAACATTCGACACTTACTCTATTACAGTAAATGCAGTGAAAAGCTTCATAAGATATCTAGAAATCTGAATAGATAGAAAACTGAGCTTCAAAAAACACATGAAGATCATGACAGCTAAGGCATGATAGATGTCTAATGACATACAGACACTAAGCAACACAGCAAGAGACATCTCAGTACAACTGCTTAGACAATTCATTCAGATCTGTGTGCTGTCTGTACTCTGCTATGAAGCAGAGACCTGATGATCTGAAGTCACACAAATGAAGAAGGGAAAGAAAATCTTCAATTAAATGAATTGTCTAGTCAGAAAGCTAGATCTAGCTCTTAGAGATGCTTTGTGAGAGGCACTGCCAGTCTACAAGACCACACTTATTTCAGCTCTATACTGTGAGCTAGAAGTCATGTCAATGAAAGAGACACTAGACAATCAGTGTGCTGTATTTGCAGTAAGAATCAAAAAGCTTGACAAGAGACATCTGCTAATGAGGCACTCTAATAAAGTAGCTATCACCAAGCTCTATACCACACATCTGTCTAAAGCATTCAATCATGCTGATGGAATAGAAGCATATAACCCTCTACTCACATCTTTTTGAATGAGATCTTTCAGAAAAGAAGATCTGCAGATTGAGTATGAGACAGACTGCACAAAGAAACAGATAGTACAAGACTTTATAAGCTGACTACAACAACATAATTCTCTGAATTTGATGATCTTTATCAATGATTCACAGATAGAGTGCTCTCAGTGTATGACTGATGCAGAATAAGCTATATGCTGAGATAATAAACACTGTTTAATCTTCACAGAAAATCTATCAATAAATAAAGCAGAAATCTTTGATGCAGAGACAATGACAGCTCTGCAGAGTCTAAAGAAAGTTATCATCTCTTCTCAGATGAAGTTTACTAGCAATGTCTATATTTGTCTAGACAATTTGAAGATAGCATGAGCTTTTGAATCTGTGTCAAACATCTATAGCCAGCAGATCTTCACACAGTTTCTGAAAGTCATAAAGACCTGGCAGAGCAGAGATAGGCTTTCATTGACCACTCAGAGCAGAATGGTCATTAGATGAATTCCAGACCACACAGATGTAGCTGATAATAAAAAGGCAGATCTTGAAGTCAAAGCAGCTGCAGCACAGACAGTAAGTGTAAGTATGATACCTCAACTCAACAGCATAGACACTCTAGCTTATATAAAGTGGCACACTATGGAACAAACCACATGGGTCTTTGAGAACTACTGGGCCAAAAATCAGCTCAAACACTATATGAAGCTGGAGATCTCACTAAAGAGAGTCTCAACAGAGACAAAACTTTCATACTTCACATTAGAAAAGCTCTATGCTGTCTGATCAGATTATGAAGTCTTTGCAGTCTATCATAGCCACCTTAAGCATGAAGATGCAGAGTGCTACTGCCAGTGCAGACATAGTAAAACCTCAGAACATTTCTACTATTGCACTCTTGCAAAAAAAGCAGCAAAGTGATATCAATCTATTTACAATCTTCATGAGACACTGGCAACCTCACATGAGGCTCTAGAATTCAATAACTGACTAAAAGAAACAGTCTTCTATTAGAATATCTGTTCAATGTGCCATCACACATCTTCAGATCAGATCTCATAGATCATCTTCTTCTCTGTCTTACTTCTGTTCTTCTCATCATCTTCTTCTTCTTTCTCTCTTTTCTTCTCTTTTTTTTCTTTCTTGTCTTTCTTTCTATTCATCTTCTCTACCTCTCTCTCACAAATTTAAAACCTCTCAAAACCTCTGCTCTATAGCAATCAATCTATAGGCTCTGCTGGTGCAGCAATACACAACTCTTTTACCTTATTTATAAGATAGCTACTAGATAGATAGTCATCTATGAGCACAGCTCTACCCACTCTATAGTTTAACACAGACTCTACTAAATCATATGCTCATAAGACACATAGACTAACTAGGCATTAAATAAAAACACACACACAATAAAAACATCAAAATGATAAAAATCTTGCAATTTTATCATCTTCATCATCTTCATCAATTAATAACTCACTACAATGTCAAATAAGAATAGAACTATTGAAGATTGTATTTAAAAAAGCTATCACTTATCATCAAAAAAAATCAAATTTCAAAATACTGTCTCTGTCATAAAAATTTAAAATTTCATATCAATATCTCTGAGTATATATTAATGAAAGAAATTCAAATACTACAAAGATTTCATTTAAGAAGAGATTAAATAAGAGTCAGAAGAATATAATTAAATAATAAGTCAAGCTGCTTGATGAAAAGAATTATTCTCTCACAGTTAAACATATTGAAGATTTTGTAAATTCAATGTTCAGACATCAGCATATAAATTCTACTATCTCTTTTTCAAAAGTCAGCAAGATGTGAATTTATAAGTTCATTGAATATCTATCTAAGTATAAGAGAGTGAAATAGAAGTTAATAAATTTAAAAAAAGTGACAGTTGAAGATATTGAATACATCAATATATAATTTGAACATCTTCAGATTTTATTTGAGTTCATATAATATGCAGATCTTCATAAGATAATTTTATATGAAATTTCATCACATGTTACTTATTTATTACAATCTTTGAATAGTCTATCATTTCAGTAATATAAGCATTATCATTCAAAAGCAGTCAACTATACTGCATGTCATGATTTTGTTAAGTATGAAAAATGATAGTTTCTATAAGAC